ACTCTCCGGGTTCTCTGGCTTCCTCCCACACAGTCCAAAAACATGCTGAGGTTAATTGGTGATTCTAAATTGTCTGTCGGTGTGATTGTGAGTGTACTTGATTGTCTGTCTCTAAGTGTAGCCCTGTGATAGACTGGTGACCTGTCCAGGGTGTCCCCTGCCTTCACCCTAAGTCGGCTGGGATAGGCTCCAGCCCCCCGCGACCCTAGTGACGATAAAGCGGTGTATAGAAAATGGATGGATGGCATTCTACTGTAAGGATAATCATCTACAAGTTTGTCCAGGACTGACCACCCAAAAATCTGAGTTCTAGATAGTAAAAAAAGCCTCCAAGAAGTCCAGACCTTCACAAAAGATCTGCAGGTAACTCTTGCAGCTGGTGTTTTTAAGTGCGCGCATTTAAAATCAGGAAGTGATCTGACCTGCATGGGAGGCGGCCAGGAAAAAGCCTCTGCTGTCCAAAAAGAACACCAGAGCCAAACTACAGTTTGCCAGTAAACATTTAGACAAAGAGTCGACCTCAAGCAGTAACGTGCTTTGGACAGATTAGTCAAGAAACAGTAACAGCAGGTGTGTTTGGTGCAGCTTTTCAGGTGAAGAACTTTGTTTTAATGAAGGAAATGAAAATGGTTTGAAGTTGCTTCTCTGCTTAATTCAGTGAATTGTGTTACTTGAAGACAACATGAGGCCACCTGTCGAAAAGTTGAAGTTCATCCTAAACACACAAGAAAATCCACCAAGGAATGACTCAAACTCAGGTCAAAGCCCAGGTTGTATCGCATTGAAATGTTGTAGGTGGATTTAAAACAGAAGGAAACATGCAAGAAAACCCTAAAGCATCTTAAAACTGACAGAATTTGCATTAAAGAACTTTGCTAAGTCTGAAGGACAATTAGGCCACAGTACAAAATGACATCCATGGATATTTTTACTCAGCAAATGATTGAAGAGGCTATTTTTTTTTCATTGTCGTGGTTCAAGCACATCAGCTTTATCTGTCAGCACCGTTTCAAAGAGGATCTAATGTTTGCTTTTTGAAATAGGCCCAAACAATTTACTTACTTTTTCACATGACAGTTCTTGAATGAAGACAACCTGCTGATACCAACGTTCATGCTGCTGAAGTGTCATCAGGGAGTCGACACGCTTAAGCAGGGTGAAGTCAAAGTTCTTCAAAGGTCTTCGCCAAACTCAACCCTGTGAACCTTCAAACCTATTGAAAAACAATCGCCAAAATGACACCATTTATCAGAGCCAGAAAGTGTAAAAACAGAAAAAAGCATCTGATTTTCATCTTCCTGATGGTTCTGTCATGTGTGATGTGAGGTTCTGCTGGGAAAATCTAAGTCTAAGCTTTCTGATATTTCATACAAATGACTTTATTACATATGTCTTATTGAAAATATGCCAAACATAAGCTGTTTGCATCAGATTCTGTAAAAAACAATCATTAAAAAGATCAAATCTTTGCTCTCGGATGGACCTGTGAATCCATTTGACACTCAGTTACAGCCAACAGTCATGTGACAACAATTCATGAACTGTTCAGATGGACGATGTGTGTTGCCATACAGAAGACAGGAGACAAGTTTAGAAAGCAAATTAAAAATGTAAGTAGTAAAATTGGTAACACATGTGGGCTCTCTGAAAGATGTACATGTTGATTCAGTGTTTTGTTTTTTTTTTAATTTTGTAAAATAAGTAATAAAAAAAATGTTTGTTTTTTTCTTATGATTTGCGCCGTTATAACCGTCTCATCGGGCACCAAGGATATTTCTGAGTTCTCTTTACTTTTAGCCATGATTGTACCGTTTCCACAGAGGTGCAGGACTTTATGTTGCAGTGAAAATCCTCGATGCTTGAGAGTAAGAACTGCTGTAATTCCGTTTTGCTGTGAACGCTCCTGAACATTTTAAAGTTCATGTAACTTTTACAAGGTTCAATCACTTTCAGAGTTCTCACCTTTTAAACAGCTGCACTCCATGAACCAATGACCTGCACAAACACATGATTCTTGTTGTATTTTTGTGTATGTAAACTAATAAAGTTTTATATTATTAAGTTGATTATTTCAAGTTTTAAAAACTAATGTTTTTACCTCACCTTCAGTTTACTCTGATCATCAGAAGCAAATCTCCACACAGACTGGATCAGACGTTTCTGATCATTTGTAATCTAAGAATATAGTATTTGGCCTGTAAGACAAAAAAAAGGCTCATGAAGGATGTAATAATGATCTACTGAAATAATGATAGTGTTCAGCTCATTCGATACAGAGCTGCAACTATGAATTGATCCATTGCTGACAAGAAAATTAACAGTCAACTAGTTTCATCGTGGATTCATTGGTTTTGAGGGAAAAAAATCTCAAACTTCGCCTCTTAAATTTCAGTATTTTTAGTTTTTTTTTTACTCCTTTATGACAATAAATTCAATATCTTGTGGGTGTTGCGAAATAAAAAAAATAATCCTGAGCTTTGGGAGACATTTTACAGACCAAAGAATTAATCAATTAATGGTGAAAATAATCAACAGAATAAAAAAAGTTGTTAGTTACAGTCCTAGTTAGATTGAAAAGTGAAATCCAATGTATTCAGTGTAAAACTCATAGTAAATAAAAAATCTTGCACAAGCATTCAGAGCATTAAGGTTTCCTATTGAAACCACTAGATGGCGACAGTTAGCAGGTTTTTTTTTTTGCTGTTCTTCCATCAAGTGATCAGTGAAAACCCACAGTGTAAATTAGTGAGAATTCAGTGATCGCCACATCAAGACTGTGTCTAATCGCGCTGGGTGTGTCGTATAATGACATTACTTCTACTGAGTGAGATCATCCCTCCGAGCGCCTGTTGGACGGTCGGATCAGAGCCGATGTGAAAGGGGTCAACTGGTTTCCTTTCATTTGAGCTGCGCGTCTGAAAACAGGAAGCTACTGGGCAGAGGAAAGCTTCCGTCCTGTTGGCCTCCGCCGCCTGCATCCTCCCAGCCTTTATGAGCCAGCTGTTCTGAACATTAGAGCCCGTCTGCAGGCTCCTGCTGCTTATACACTGTGGACAGTCCATTAATCTGAGCACAGCGCAACATTAACATCTGTCCGGCCTGCTTTTATGACACAGTTGTCTATATTTTCTGGGATTTTTTTTCTTCCTTTCTTTTACCAGTGCTGCATATTGTGCCCTCAAAATGATGTTGGGCATTATTTTAAAGATAAAGGCCAGACTTGTGTTCCTTTAAAGATGTATTTTAAACTCTTTACCAGCAGGAGAGCATTCAGAAAAGAATGAATTTTCCAGCTTATTTTTTACTGAGGAATTGTTGCTCAGTTTAGTAATTCTAAAGTTAAAGATTGTTTTACGGAGGATCCACTGAGGCTGTATGTAGGTGGAAGTAACCAATCCCACTGCTTATGTTACTGTGATTAGATCTCTTTTTTGGAGGTACTTTTATGAAGTCAGTAACTCTTACCTGATATGCATTACACTATTTAGTGCACTTTGCTACTTTTAAAAATCATAATTTGCTATTGTTTAAACTTAAAGTTGGGATATTTAAACACACAAAGGCTGTTCAATTGTGAATGTCAACAAAAACCACAGTTCCGACTGTAAATTCTGCATTATATGCGATCATGTCTGAGAGTTTCAGACCCTTTTATGGCTGTTTGTTTGCAGTCAGACTAAATAAAATATGGATATAGGCTCCGGCTCTGAAAATTGAATGTGGAAGTGCCTTAAACCTGCATTCTGACTAACGTCCAGCAGGGGGCGACTCCTCTCGCTGTAAAAAGAAGTCTGATTGCATAGAAGTCTGTGATAAAATATGCCAAATTCTCACTTGATCTGCTACCTCAGTAAACATTTTCTTAATGAGTTTAAGGTCTCAATTGCTAGTTTAAAATCTTCAACACCACATGATGCTTGTTTTGGAAATTACTGTCCCATTTACAGTAAAATAGAAACGAGACGATACATGAGGGTTTGTTTTAAGCTTGTGATTGACAGCTCAATACAATATCAAAAAGTTTTTTTTTTTTTGTCTAAATCAAGATAGTTATGGCCAAATGCTTACCTCAAGGCTTCACAGTTTTAAACCACAAGCATCCATCTTTTATATGCAGTCCCTGTTTGCAGTGCTTTTCTACTGTTCTGCCAAAGAAGACTGCATATAGAAAAACAGAAACAGCCCTCCTGACATCACCCATTGGTTCATGGACATATTTTATTATTTCCTTATGGGCAATGCCATAATATTACAGTACAGATGTTATATGTGCTTGATATGTCTCGTATCCTTGTTCAGACTTTAATTTCCTTGATTTACACAAGAGTTTAAAGAAAGTATCTCTTTTCCAATCATCCTATGGGCTATACTCTTTATATAACTCATATGAATGACAACAAGTCATTTTGATGCATTGATAACATCTTAGTCACAATCTAGAGGCTCCAATCACTGTTCAGGTGGAAAATTGCACTGTACAAGTGGAATTGGTCATTTTAAAGCTTTTTCAACCAACAAAAAACTGGATTGGTTACAATCTACAGCACTGAGCAGGTCAAATAATGCAGAACCATCGATGTAATTGTTCCTGTAGACTGCAATCAGGTGTGTC